TATTATAAAAAAATTATTTTAACTTTTAATTATAAATAAAAGTTAATAATTATAAATAATTTTAAAAAAATTAATATATGTATAATGATATTTTTTAACTAAAGTAATAAATTTTTATTTCATTATTTATATTAATATTCTTTTTTTCTACAGAAAACGCACACCTAAATTATATTTTGCATGGAAAATGCAAAGTTGGATTGTGTTTTATATTGAAATGCAGAGCCCCCTTGCATTTTTCATGCAAAATGCCATACTGCTTTGCATTTTGTTCAAAAATGAGATTACTATTCATTTGGATGCTCATTTTTATTTTTTTTTATGCTCCTAATTCTAAATTTTTTAGAAACTATGTCCCATTTGAAAATTTATCCATAAAACAACTTCAAAATCAAATAGCTAATAAGTTATTTGAATAAGCTTTAAAGGGAGTGAGCGCGGATTTGTAAGAAATTTTAGCCTTGCCTTATATTTATTTTTTTGGCGGTCGCAACTAGCGAAAGGCAGGACGTACTGGTACGGAACAAAGGTAGGACCGACGCTGTCTAAGTATAAATATAGACTTTGGCCCAGAATTAGGGCTTGATTGCCGGCTCGAAATCGTGGGAAGGAATCGGCATGTCGACGGAGAGGAAGCGGAAGGTCAGCCTCTTCGACGTAGTAGACGAGGCAGCGGTCTCGACGAAGCTGGCTCGGGTAAACGGATCGTTCACTGCAGGCGCTGCCGCGCCGCTTTTGCCTGTGACGATCAACCGATGGACAGGGCGGACATACTCGCAAAGGTACTTCGAGATCCTGGACAAGAGGAAGACACTTCCCGTATGGCAGCAGAAAGATGAGTTCCTTCAAGTTCTCCGTGACAATCAGACCCTTATTCTTGTCGGTGAAACTGGGAGTGGCAAGACCACCCAGGTATGTTGTTGCTGAAATTAAATTTTGTGTTATTTTTACACTGTTTATGGATGATTGGCATGGTTTTGTTTTTATCTAGTTTTTCTGTTATTGAGGTGTTGCTGAATATTTTTGCTTTAAATTAAGTTCTGAGGATGGAATACCACTTTTATTACTATTTTAACTTGGGTGGAACGGTGTGAAGGTTGGCTGAGCTTTGTTGTATGGTACTGAGTGCGGGAAACAGAGGGAACATAAATAAGTGTAAGAAATGTTGCATGCATCTTAGTATGTATTTGTTGTTAGAAGTCTGTTGTCATGGAAGAAGGAAGAGGCAGTGGAGCGAGTTTGAGACGTTCAATGTATATAACCTGTGAGAGTGCCAAATTTTGAAGCCGCGGTAATGGAGGATATGCTAAAATTGTTGACATTTTAAATGGAGAACTGAAGAAGCACTAATAATGATGGGAGTCGAAGTGCTGTCCAATCTTTATAAAAGAAAGTTGTGGGGTGATGCTAATATGGCAAAATGTTATGATAAATGAATGATGGATCCAAAAATCAAGGATGAAGTAATCAAGCACAATTAAATGATCCAAGAATCTTAGATGTATGACTGGTGGATTGTTGGGCAAATTAGTTGATGATTCATCCTCATCTTCTTCTCTCTACTAGAAACCCCTCTCCAATAGTTTAAACATGAATGAAGAGGTAGGGTGCACAATATAAGATTGCAAGAGGAAATCAATGCTTTCATTCAAAATAACATAGCTTCTTATACTAAGACAAGACCCCTATGAGGAGGAGGAAGGAAGGGGATCAAAATCCAAGGGTCATATACTTGCAAATAAACATAAAGAAATGCGATGAAGGGTTTTACTAAATTTTATAGTTTCCATATGTTTCATTTTATGCTCCCTTTCTCTCCTAAGTATTACTTAAATCTTACATGAAATTATCTTAAATTGGCTCATCATAATCTTGGTTTTAATTGGTCATTTTTTTAAAATGAGCAGATATTAAGTTAGATTTAGGTAAAACAGCACAAATGAGAAATAATTTAGAAAGGAGCGGATACGCCGGAAGAGCTATCGCATTCTAGAATGCGTTCTACATCCTGGCGCATTTAAGAATGCGCCATGTGCTTTGGCGCATTGTCTAAATGCGTCCTAATATATCACGTATTCTGCATGTAATGTTTTAATGACGTGGAATCTGAAGTATATAAAAGATAATTTGATTGTTTCTTACAGTGAACATGAGTGAAATCTGCCATTAAAGTAAACATAAATGCTACAGTTAGGAAAATGACATTTGTTCATTCCGTTGTAGATATTTCATTCACTCATATATATTCGTACATGATATAATAATTTAAAATGATTTATCTTATGTTCCATTGTTGTTGTTCCAACCTATAGTTGTTTCTTGTATGTAAAAATTTAAGTAAAAGTAAATAATGTGAGTATATGAAAAATAAATATCATTAAATGAAAAACAATATTGATACGTCCTTAAAAAATTATTTTAATTGGGGACGAATCTTGATGCAAAATCAAGTTGAAAGCTTCTGAAATTAATTTGGAGACCATCTCAACTCCGATTTCAGCAAACTTATAGTCGAACTGAGCATCTCGAAAATACGAACCCAACGCCACCAAATTCAACCCAATCTGAGCCCAAATGGGTCCAAATCAAGGACCCGACCTGCTGTTGGAAGATTCAAACCACAATTTGTATTACCAAACGGTTTCCAAACATAACAAGCTTATAGTCGAATCGAGCAGCTCGACGATACAAATCCAACGAGCCAAAGATCGATGAATTCCGATGCCAATAAGACATTCAAATGTCCATTAAACTGTCCATGATCAAGGGATTCAGCATCGGCCGTCCATTTAATCACTCACCATTTACCCTTAATCTCTCACCTTTTTTAAAATATTTTAAAACAATATTTTAAAATGTTTTAAAATATTTTTTTTTTCATATTTTTTAATTATCAAAAAATATAAAATTTTTAAAACAAAAATAAATGTTTTAATTATTAATAATAAAACTTTAAATTAGAAATTATATTGTTTTTCATTTTAAATTATTATATCATGTACAAATATGAGTGAATGAAACATCTATAATAGAATGGACAAATGTCATTTTCCTAACTGTAGCATTTCTGTTTACTTTAATGGCAGATTCCACTCCTGTTCACTGTAAGAAACAATCAAATCCTCATTTATATCATTCAGATTCCACGCCATTACTTTAAAAATATTGCATGCAGAATACGCCATATATTATGACGCATTTAGGCAATGCGCCAAAGCACATGGCCCATTCTTAAATGCGCCAGGATGTAGAACGCATTCTAGAATGCGCTAGCTCTTCCGGCGTATCCGCTCCTTTCCAAATTATTTCTCATTCTTGCTGCTTTTCCTAAATCTAACTTAATATATGCTCGTTTTAAAAAAAATGGCCGTTTTAATTCTAGTAGTCTTTGTGGGCAATATCAAAAATACTTTCACATTTCTTGTCCTAATTATTGTTAAAAAAACCATCTTGAAGAGCTGCCTAAGTCCTCTTGGTAACTTCCTCTCATAACAAGGGTATGCAATCCGAAAAGAAAAGAGCATTTTAATGTTCCTTTCATTTTCTTTTATGATCAATGTTTAAAAAAAATCTTCTTGAAGGCCCACCTGAAACTCTTTGAAACTTCCTATCATGATAAGGACATGTTATCCTTTCAGAAAAGAGCATTGTAATGAACCTTTTATCTTATTTGCATCTTTTATTGAAGCTAAGCATAGGCTTCTTTTACAAATTTTTGTCTTCTATTCCTAACTACGGTCTTTTTCTCATAGAACTGAGCAGTAAAAAAGTAAAAAAAAGAAAATCAGATTGCACTCTTTGTAATAGGTGAAGGGTTGACCTTTACAATGTGACAATGCCTTGAAATTTTTTGCAATTTTATGATGTCTTCAATGAACCCAAATGCAATGGAGATGTGTGGATTTGTTGACACTCCATCCATTTGCTCATCTTCTTAATAATGACAAGAAGTCATCTTGTGGGATTTGATCCATCTCATTTTGATGTATTTTATATTTATGCAATGTTGTACCCTTCTTAAGCGATAACTTCTTATTGTCAATGAAAATATCCTTTCAGGGACGCTTCTTGCCTTATCATTTTATTGATGTCAAAAGAGGGGAAAATACGTTGTCAACAAATTTAACTTTTCATTCTTTGGATACATACATAAATATGGAAAAAAAATTGATGTATGAGCTAACACTTCGGTGTACTATCATCTCACATTCTTTTTTTTGTTTATTTTTCAAAATTTGTGTGGCCATGCATATTATTAATGGAATTCATGATAGATGGTCGAAGTGGAGGAATGCATCGGATTTGTTGGTGGTAGAATGTAGTGAGACTTGCATTGCTTTTTGACGTAGAATGTTTGCCATTAAAAGAGAAGCATAAAATTAAGTTAAATGTTGCAGAGATGAGGATGCTCTAGTGGATGCGTGCCTTTACCCTTAGAGACATAATGAAAAACGAGTATATAAGTGAAAAGATTGGAGTAGCTAGTGGCATATATGATTAGAGAGGGTCACTTGAGATGGTTTGGTCACTATAATGTTGAACTTATGATGATCCTGTTAGGAGAGTAGATGTATTAGATCTTGCCTATGATAAGAAATATAGAGAAAGACCTAAAAAGACTTGGTTCTAAATTATGTTTAAATAAGAATTTGACTCTTAATAGGCACAATGGAGAAAAAAGATTCATATATCCAAACTCACTGAGTGGGATAAAGGCTTGTTGTTGTTGTTGTCGTGATCATGCATTTTAGTTTCGATTATCTTATTTTAGATTATGATTTTATGGTGTGTTTATTGCTCTATTTTCTAATATAACATCCAATTGCAAAAATATTTTTCAAGCTTATTTTTTTCATTCCCCTATTATGGTGTTTGTCATCATTAAAAGAAGGGGTTGTTAATAGCACATGTTGTTTTGTTGATTTCACTATAATTAATGGATGTACCGGATATCTTCAATTTATTTATATAGTTTTCTCTTGTGATGTAGTCATGGTGAATATTCATGCAATTGAAGATAAATCAAACACTAATCTAAGTTTGACATGCTGATCATGTGTGTTTATTTCTTATATTTCTTTTTCCTTAGACATTAGTGTAAGCACAAGCAAAATGCAAAGCCAATAGTACTAGGGATGTTCAAAATTCAAGCTTCAATCATTTAATCGATTAATGATATTTGAAATAGGTTTAGACTACTCCTTGTACTTGAAAATTAATCTGATTGAGTGGCTCTAGTTCAAGGCCACTAAATGATTTGGACTGATCAATTTGTTTTGCTTTGGAATTGGCAGATCCATACAAATTGCCATAACTTGATCTATAGGAGGTGTAATTAATGAGGGTGAAGATGCTGAGGTTCGAGTCAGTTACAGGGACATGGATAATGAGCGTGGATTTTAGAAAATTGACAAAGGATGCAAAGAGGGTAACATGTTTGATTGGTTATGATATATGTTGAGTGGTGAGCAAAGCTCGGAAAGGAAGTCGACCAATTGACTTGGCAAGGATGCCATCTACAATGAAGGGGATTGGGTGGGGTGGGGTGGGGTGGGGGGAAATGAAATTAATTGCCAGCCTCATTTTGCAGAATTGATTGACTGAAACTGTTGTATTTAGGTGACATCGACTGCCATTTACAATCTCGCTTTTTGTTAATGTTTTTTACTTAATCTCAATGGTCCATTGGTCCCTATAGCCTTTTTTTTGGTACCAAAGCTCACCTAACCTCAGTTTCCATTAGTTGATGGCCATCCAAAAGATGTTTTCCTCTCATTCATACAAGCAATTAATTGGATGAGAGTTGCATGCTTATTCTGATAACAATAAATTAAATTTGGCTTCAATAACTACTTGGCCCTTGTTTTTGCCTCCATTTAAATCCTTCATAATCTATAAATACCTCCATAACTTAGCAACTTAGCTCTTTGAAATATCTCAAGTCATTTATGAAATGTTTTGATAAGTTTGCCAAGTCATCTTCTTTTTGTAGGCTTTCTTGCTTCACTTGAGCTTTTATTTACTTAAACCTCTTTCGAGTTGTATTATGCAAGCATTTCCTTAGATATACTCATTTTCATTTCTTAGATTTTAACATCCATGTAGATTTAGCTTTGGTAAATAATTGTGCATTAGTACTCTTATTGTAACATTCTTTTACTCGATTTTTGCATTGTATATCTTGTGTTAGAGTGCTCCAGCTTGGTGTTTTTGTAAGCTTGATTTTGTTGTGAGTTATCCTATTATCAAGAAAAAATTGAGAAAAAAGATAAAGTGTGAGGATTGACATTGAGCAAGAAAAAGGCTGGTTTTGCCTCTCTAGGTCAAGGGTCGATAGCTTTGTAAAATCTTTTGGCTTCATAGTTGTTGAAGGTGATTAATTTGGGCGGAGGGGGTGGAGAATATGAACCACAATAAATATGTGCTCTTTTGTGCGGGTTGATTTCTTTATCTTACTTGTTGCTCTCACTCACGTGTTATCATTTTATTCATCATCAATTTTTGTGTCATTTCACTTCTTTTGTACACTTGGTTACATGTTATCTCCTACATCATCAAGTTGTGCTTAATTTTAGACATATGCCACAATTTTCATAATGTCGAGAAGAGCTGAAAGTTTTGAGTGTTTTTGTACATTAATTTATGTTTAGTAATTTAATTTTTAAGATTTGTTCAGTATATATCTGTAAATGGTTATCCTTAGAAAATTCCCATCCACAGTGATTAAAAAGTAGTAATACCTATATCAAAAGAATGGTTATTATGATTGTTTGAGCTTTTGTTCGTCCTTAAAAAATGGTTTGATGAGCAAAAGAAATACCCATTTTGATAGTATGCATGTTCATACTTAGCATTTGAGATTACAACTGACCCTATATATCGATTCAGTTCTATTATGTTGATTAATGGATGTGCTATTGAAACCTATGCAGTTTATGCAAGTCCATATATGAATTATTGGTCTGTCAATTACATGAAAAAAATGATATTTCACAAACTGCAATTAAAATGAATTTTAAATGTATAAATTCTATTGAGTTTTCCTTTCCTGTTTTTTAACTGTTAAGCTTGTGGTAAAATAGCTCGATGAGCTTATATAACTAATATGATAAGAGTGTACTTTTCTTGAAACGTGACACTAATAATGACTTTTATCACCTAATACTCAAATCCATACATTGTAATTGACATAATTGTAATATTTAAAATTTACTTTCTAATATCCATACTGCAGCAATAACAACAACAACAACAATAAGAAGCCTTTATCCCACTATGTAGGGTCGTCTATCCTTTTTGTCCATTATGTCTTGTTAAGAGTCAAATTCTCATCTACATTTAATAAATAAAGGTCATTTCTAATATTTTCAAACCAAGTCTTTTTAGGTCTACCTCTGTCTTTTTTAACATAAGTCAAATCTAATACATCTACTTTCTTAACCGGGTCATCGGAGGACCCCCGTTTTATGTGAGCAAACCATTTAAAACGACTCTCTCTAATCTTATCTTCCACTGGAGCTACTCCAATCTTTTCATGTATATGCTTATTTCGTATTTTGTCTCTAAGTGTAAAGCCACTCATCCAGCAGAGCATCCTCACATCTCTGTAACACTTACGTAATATTATGGTTCTCATTTAATGGCCAACATTCTGCACCATAAAGCATTGTGGGTCTCACTACCATCTTATAGAATAGTATTTTTGAAACTTTCTTCTATTTTATTTTGCATTGCTGATTTTTAATTTTATATCCTCATTTATATCTACATTCTTGTGTGTAATAGATCTTAGATACTTAAATTGATCACATCTTGGTGTTGATTTTGAAGGTTAAGCTTAATTTTTTGTTCTTTAAATATTTTCTGTGTTGTTTGAATATTTTACTCATCACAGTTGAGGTTTTATTTATTAGCAAAGCATAAACCAATATACCCTTGTAAGCTTTCCATGAGAAGCACAATTAATCATGGTCCTTGATATAATCTTATTTTAATTCATTGCCTTTTGATCACTCCACAGCTACCTTTAATAGTTGTTATTTTTTGCCATAAGCATAGCTTTAATAATTTTAACATACATTTTGCTCACTTTTCTTTTTAATGCACGCCAAATTAGTACTTGTGCTACTAGATCTTATGTCTTTAGATTAAAAAAAAATGATGAAGGTTTTTTTTTTGTTATTTTCTATATTTTTCTATTAAAATTTTAATTGTTGGTTCTAAGCCTGGATAAATTTTTTTTATAGATGATGTTTAGGTTTTATACATAATTGTAAAACTTATACTAACTTTATAAATGAATCTTAATTTGATTTTTTTTAAATCCTACCGTTAATGTGTTAAAGCTGAGCCAATGATTGTTGTTTTCTTTCCTATTCAGCTTTTAAGGGCAGCATGCTTCTTGTGTTGATCTCATAATTGTTTAATTATCGTATTAATTAGGTTGGTTATTTTTATGCGTGTCCTACAAATGGTGCTTTACTGCTTTATAATGAGGAATACATATGCGTTTATGCGTGTTTATGTATGTAAGCATTCAAGGCATCTGCTGTCCAACACATTCAACATTGGTTGTTACTTCTTTGTGCTTTCTGGTGTTTATAATTGCGCTAAATAATGTAGAGCTGTGATGCGCCATTTTTTTCCCCTTTTATTCTTACTCTGCTATAGTAATTTAGTATTATATACTTTTTGAGTGGTTTTCATAATTATTGGCCTAGTTTCGTGTGTCAGGCTATTATGTTTTTTAATTATTATGTATGATGCGAGGGGTCATTGTCTTAATTAAGTTTAATTACAGATTGTGTGTGGAGATATCATGCGATCTTTATGACCTTCTAGCTGAGATCAGGGTACTGACGGCTTATTTTGTGATTGAGCAGATACCTCAATTTGTCTTGGAAGCTGACTTCTTAGGAAAACGTCCAATGGTTGCTTGTACACAACCTCGTAGAGTGGCTGCTATGTCTGTTTCTCGTCGAGTTGCTGAGGAGATGGATGTAACAATTGGAGAAGAGGTTGGTTATAGCATTCGATTTGAAGATTGCAGCAGTGCTAAAACTATTTTGAAGTAAGCTTTTTCAAATTCCTTTGCTTCAGACTCATTTATTTAGTTATTTATTTTTATTTGCTCGGTTTAATTGCATTTGGTTTTGGCACCTATTTTCCTTTTTTGAGTTATTAATAAAGCACTCATTTGATTTTGGCACCTATTTTTTATTTGTGTTATTAATAATGTAAGTACACTCTTTTGTTTAATTTTTGTCAGGTACCTAACTGATGGTATGCTTTTAAGAGAAGCAATGGCTGATCCACTTTTGGAGAGGTATAAGGTGATTATCCTTGATGAGGCACATGAGCGAACATTAGCAACGGATGTTCTTTTTGGTCTTCTCAAAGAGGTTCTAAGAAATAGGCCTGATCTAAAATTAGTTGTCATGAGCGCAACTCTTGAGGCTGAGAAATTCCAAGGATATTTTAATGGAGCTCCACTAATGAAGGTACCAGGAAGGCTGCATCCTGTAGAGATCTTCTATACTCAAGACCCTGAGAGGGATTATTTGGAAGCTGCAATTAGGACTGTAGTACAGATACACATGTGTGAAACCCCTGGTGACATTCTTGTTTTTCTCACGGGAGAGGAGGAGATAGAGGATGCCTGTCGGAAAATCACAAAGGAAATCAATAATTTGGGTGATCAAGTTGGTCCTATTAAAGCGGTCCCTCTTTATTCTACTTTGCCTCCAGCAATGCAACAGAAGATATTTGAGCCTGCTCCAGCTCCTCTAAAGGAGGGTGGTTTACCTGGAAGGAAGATTGTTGTATCAACCAACATTGCAGAAACATCTCTGACTATTGATGGTATAGTTTATGTTATTGACCCAGGTTTCTCAAAACAGAAGGTTTATAACCCACGAATTCGTGTGGAGTCATTGTTGGTTTCTCCAATTTCCAAAGCAAGTGCTCATCAGAGATCAGGGCGTGCTGGTAGAACGCAACCTGGGAAATGCTTTAGACTTTACACTGAAAAAAGTTTTAATAATGATCTACAACCCCAGACCTATCCTGAAATTCTCAGGTCGAATCTGGCAAACACAGTTCTTACATTGAAGAAACTTGGAATTGATGATCTTGTTCATTTTGATTTTATGGATCCTCCTGCACCTGAGACCTTGATGCGGGCCTTGGAAGTTTTGAACTACTTGGGTGCTCTAGATGATGATGGAAACTTAACTAAGTTAGGTGAAATCATGAGTGAATTTCCATTGGATCCACAGATGTCAAAGATGCTTGTTGTTAGTTCAGAGTTTAATTGTTCTAATGAAATTCTATCAGTTTCAGCAATGCTATCAGGTATGCGCATATTTTATTTCTTTTTATGCTTCTTTTCTTTTTGTAGTCCTCAATAATTAGTATGGTTGTACGCGAGTTAATGCACTTAATGAATAACTTGATGCTTGTTTGTATGAGGCTCATTTATGATCGGCTATTTACATAATTGAATAAATTTGAAAAAAATTTTAAATGCTCGTTTAAAAGTATAAGTTTAGATGGTGTCGTAGAGTGAACACACTTGTTTGTTTATCAAGTAGCTCATAAAAAATAATAAAATGCTCGTTTAATAATGGCATAATTACTTATTTAATGATTTATTTTATGCTATCGAATCAATTTTTCTGTATCTATATGCATTTAAAAAATTATGTATATTATTAGAGGTATTATTAAGATAAAAATATCAAACAAATATTGAGATATTTAGATTGAAAATTTTTCTTCTTAATATTTAAGCTTTACCAAACAACTAAAATAATACTTAGTGAATTGTGCTAATTGTAATTATCTATAAATCCTATTATGCCTAATTATATGTTCAATTATTACCTTCAAATATATGGTTAGTTAGTCCGATAAAACCTTAATTATGGCTTTATCTCATTAAGAATATTAATAAATAAATTTGAACAAGTACTTAAAAACTTGGATCATGTTCAAGCTGGGCTCAATCTGAATAAGGAAATAAATGAAGGAGTTGCTTGTCTTTGTTCATTTAGAGCCCTATCTATAAGAAAGATTCTAGTTCACTACTTCACTTAATGCAATGGGAATTTATATGTGGGTACAATCTTAGAATGACATTAATATACTCAGATATTTGATGCATTTTATTAGCGCTTCCCTTCCATGCTTTCCTCCAAAGTTTCAACCTTTGTTAATTTCAATGGGAAAAATATGTTATATAATTTGGTTTAACATTTTAGTAATTGCATGCCTACGTGTGTTCCTTTGTGTTTCTTTGCTCACCGAGGTTGTTGTTAGCAGTTAAATAGTTAGGTTATACTTTCGCCTAGGTTTAATGACTGTTGGCCGGCATACCCAATAGAATTTTTGGGACTTAAGTGCTGATGAGTAGAGTTGCAGTTTCTCAATTATTTTCTTATGAAGCAGTGTTGGTCTCGCCTGTATGCATCTGCTGACCTACTATGGGCCTCCTCTGTGATAACAATTCTTTCTATAGTACCCAATTGCTTTGTGCGGCCTAGGGAAGCTCAAAAAGCTGCTGATGAAGCAAAAGCTCGGTTTGGCCACATCGACGGGGATCACCTAACTCTTTTAAACGTGTATCACGCTTACAAGCAAAATAGTTAAGTTAATTATCTTCTGTTATGTTCCTTTCTACCTTTTGCTTGTCATTATGTTTTATTTTTCTTACAAAGTGGCTATTTTGATCGCAGATGAAGACCCTTCATGGTGTTTTGATAATTTTATTAACCAAAGGGCATTGAAGGCTGCTGACAATGTGAGGCAGCAACTTGTGCGTATAATGGCCAGATTCAACCTCAAGCTTTGCAGCACAGACTTCAACAGCCGTGATTATTATGTAAACATAAGAAAAGCATTGCTTGCAGGATACTTTATGCAAGTAGCTCATCTTGAAAGAACTGGGCATTACTTGACAGTGAAGGATAACCAGGTACATTATTTTGCTTCAAGGACCTTTTTTCATAAATGAGCTTTCTCTGGATTATATTTCCGTGTTTCTTTTTGGTTCATTGTAGGTTGTTCATCTTCATCCTTCAAACTGCTTAGATCACAAGCCTGAGTGGGTAATCTACAATGAATACGTTTTGACTAGCAGGAACTTTATTCGCACAGTTACAGATATCCGTGGCGAGTGGTATGAAATATCTCTTATAGCTCCTTGATTTAATATTTTTTTTCTTTTTTGTGCGAATGATCTTGGGTTATTAATGACAATCAATAAGCTGAACCAAACTTGGTAGAAATATTATCCTTAGAATTTAAATGGAGAGGTTCTAATTTGAACAAGTTTGAAATAAAAGAAAACTCAAATTTATCTTCAGTGCCTAGTGAAATCATTTGTTTTTTGGCATAAATTCCATGGCAATTTTCTTATTCTAGTGCAGCGTGTGAGTGTCTGCATTCAATGTATACGTAGTTGTGCTTTTCTGAGATTCTTAATTTTAACGTCTCGTTATAGTACTGTTGAAATATGCGTACTCACCATTTATCATCAGTTGAGGACATTAGTTAGTATGTACAGGTGTATTTTCTTCAATTGTCGTTCTAGTGCGCTTGATTGAAATTAAGGTTTATATGTCTGTGCTTCAATACATGCCTTCAGCTTAGAGGTTTCCTATGTTGTTTGGTTTTGTTGTTCTATTTTCGTTTCTTGTTGAATGTCCTAGAGCTAAATTTCTTGCTTTTAAAGTCTTTTTAGAGCATTTTTCAGTATATCTTTCTATGTTCACGGATTTGAGAACAGTTGCTTCAGTCTATTGGCAGAAATCATAAGGGAAATTTGAGTTTTTATCCCACTTAATAGTTAATACACAATTTTGGACTAATATTGTTAACCTAATAAAATTTGGCCAAATATGCACCAATATAAACCTAATTGAAATGTGAGAAATTATATCTTATATTCGTGTTGGATGTTGGAATATCGGCAGTTCAAATTTCTATTCTTCAAGCCTCTTTTTTTAGGCTCTTCTTGCCTATCGGACACTTCTCCGCCTTCGTGTGGACTCTTGCTCTCATACAAATCCCTCACACAAAGGCACAGATGTCAGTCATCTTGGCACACAGTTGACTTAGATACAATAATTTTTGTTATTTGTTGATTTAGGTTTATTTTACCCTTAGAGATAGGATACGAAATGAGCATATATGTGAAAAGGTTGGAGTAGCTCCAGTAGAAGATAATATTAGAGAGAGTCCCTTTAGATGGTTTGGTCACATAAAACGGCAGCCTTCTGATGACCTGGTTAGGAGAGTAGAGGTATTAGATTTGACTTATGTTAAGAAAAGTAGGGGTAGACCTAAAAAGATTTGGTTAGAAAATATTAGGAATGACCTTTCTTTATTAGATTTAAACGAGAATGTGACTTTTAATAGGACACAATGGAGAAAAAGGATTCATGTAGCCGACCCCACGGAGTGGGATAAAGGCTTGATGTTGTTGTTGTTGATTTAGGTTTATTGCATTCTAACATTGACTCTCTCACATATATTGCCTCTTGCAACGCTCTTCATGAAAAATTGATTTGACCACTAGGTTTGAGCGATATATTAGAAGCTGAAATCAAGGTTTGGACTCACAATCTGGGGTTTAAACATGGTTACAAATTTTAGACTCAATTTTGAATCCCAATTTTGGCCGTGGATGCGTAGTATACAGTAGATCAAACATGGTTTGAGCCAAGGTTTAGTCCCATATTTTGTAAACCTGATTCGAATAAGGTTTGCCTTGGTTTGAACCTAATTGACTCTTGTTTGACCTGTTCCGAATCATTGATCCCAATTTATGCTTTTATTTCTATCAAACCAAACTTATTTTTTAAAAAAATCATAATCAATAGAAATCATAAAAGAATCATTTTAAACATATGTTCATATCATTTAATCAAGAAAAATAGTTACCCATTGGTGACATAATCCAATTTAGCTCCTTCGTTGGATTTATGAATTTGCTAAACTAAATAGTTTGTTTTGATTTGAAAATTCTAAAAATTGAGTCGATCAAACTATCTTTCAAGTTGAACTAATCCAAACTAAACTTCAGTTTGATTAATGTGGTTTGATTCTAGATGAATCAAAATGTAATGATTAACAATGTATCTACTATCTAGTCACATTTGGCTTAAATAACATGCATTAAGAATAATAATTTTTTCTTGCTAAAATTTATAATTTTGTTATGTGATATGAATAATATTATTGTTCATCTTTGTGTTATTTATTTGTAATTTATGGGCTTTATTGATTTAATATATTTGATTTAATTAGTTTTATCTTTTTTTTGGTTTGATTACAACAACAACAACAACATCAAGCCTTTATCCCACTACGTGGGGTCGGCTACATGAATCCTTTTTCTCCATTGTGTTCTATTAAAAGTCAAATTCTCATTTAAACCTAATAAAGAAAGGTCATTCCTACTTTATATAGTTCCCAATTATCGGAATTTTTTTTGGTTTGATTGGTTTTACAAAATAAAAATTTAACTAATAATAAAAAAAATCAAAGAAAGTCAAATTAAAATAAATAATCAAACTGATACTTTAACAACTAAATTGAACCAACAAATATAAAATAAGTTTAGTGATTTTTTTTTTAAATTTTTTATTATACATTGTACTACCTCTATGATGCATGGACGCTTCTCTTCAAAGAGGCGTGCACAACAACCGTTTAACATGCCTCCGACTCATGTCAGACATGTTAAAAACATGTCCGATAAAAAGTATTAAAGACAAATTGGACACGTATGTGTTCTATTTTTTCAATAATTGACGTGCCCATGTCCGTGTCGTGTCATATCCGTGTCATCATGTGCATGTCTGTGCGTCATAGTGCACTACCCTTGTAGGGTGAAATCTAGATCTAGATCTTTTGTTGAAAAAATTACACTTGCATGCAAGAACAATTAAGCTGGGAAGATGCTAGGATAGAAGAAATGCATGAATATCTATGAAGAAGCTAGAAACGATGTTACTCTATGCTAGAAGTATTTTCTTGTTTTACATTTAAGGGTAAATTGATAAAAACTTTTTAGGGATATTTTCCCTAAATCATTGCTGAGTGGACATTAGCCCAAATAGAACATCCTTGAAGTATACAAACTCAAATTTCTCAACCAGAATGCTCTCCATTGGCTGCACTCTTTCAGTTTACATATTCTAATAGATGAATGAATGAATGTGTCCATTTTGATAGTCATATAATGTGACATATTGGCATAAAAAGCATTAGATTTCCTTTTTACAATGGGAACGGTAGTTTGGTGCATAACATAATAAATTGATGATTTAATACATCTAGGGGTAGAGCCAGCTTTACTTTTGAGGGTGGTGAATAAACTTATTATAAAAAAAAATAAATATAAAAAATAAGAAAGATATATATAAGATAAAATTCAAAACTAAGTCTTTGTATTTCATTATAATATATGACTTAAAAAACAATTACATGTTTTGCATTCTATTTTATATTTTCTGATAATATTGTATAATGACTTTATTGGGAGCAGAGTCAAATACTTCCATCTCAATGCGTGATACTAGATAGCCATTGAACCAACTATCACTCATTTTGCTATGCAATCGATGCTTGATAATTTTTATTGTAGAAAATGCTCTATATATTGGAGTAGTAGTAATTGACGAAGTCTGTGTCAAAATAATAAGCCTATAAACCAGGGGATACATAATATTCTTTTTGGTCTTAGCAATTTATTTTACAAGAACAACAATACTAGTCAAAGATGTGAACTTATCGCTTGTATGCATATTAATAATATAAGTAGATAATTGATGTTCAAGAGACACAAGAATCACCACAGAAAAATCTATTGGATATAATTCCGCAAGACAAATCAATTTTCTCTTATCGTAAGCAGGGAATGAATTACTTGTGTTCAGATATTCCACATAAAGAAATAACTCAGTACTAGCTTCTGAGAAGAAGTTATTTTATTCTTAAAGTTACATATCAGTAACAATATAAAATAAATCGACCTGATAATGATGGAAGTTTATTATTTCTTCACTTGCTCGTATTGAATGTCGACGAGTCTTAAATATCGAGTTCATATTTGGAACTTCAATTTAAAAAGCATTAAAAAAAAATGATACTAATTCTAATAAATGCTTTAATTCATTTTCCCTCATAATCTGCAATCGTTGCTTAGACATTTGCATCAATTTCATTGCATTCATGACATCTTGATTTTTTTTTTGTAATACTAGTAATAATTCATTCGTAATTCCTAAAGTATCAATCATTACATGAAGTGCTAAGACAAAGTCAAAAGATTCCATAGTATGTATTAAAACACCAACTTCAACTGACCGTTGATCATGTATCATGTCTTCCTTAACAATTTCAAGCATTTTGAGTGCCGAAACATGCATTACGAGACTAATTAACTAGAATAGTGAAGTAGAAATCACTAATTTTATTCATGATTAAAACTAAGGTCCCAGCAGCTATAGCAGTACAAATCTTTTTTTGCACTTTCAGTGAAGTCAATTTTAACTTAGCACAAACATTTTTAAATGTAACTTTCTTGACTTCATTATGATTTGCAAGAAATTGGAATAACTCCAAAAATTTCTCTCGATTATCTAAACTAGATGACTTATCATGCCCACGGAGTGATAAATCTTGGCGAATTAGAAATCAAATACAATCAATATTTTTTTTGTTCTTCTCATCTTTGCTCAATCATAAAGCAGGAAGACTTTGTTCTCGATGCTTTACTAAGTCATATTTTTTTGCCTTATTGTGTGCACTATTATGATCTCCAACATAATCGATAAGTTTTTCTTTTCTCTTCCAATTTTAAATCCTTCACCAACAAAGAGCCTCCACTATCTTGGCATGTGATAATTTGCTCTTGAGGCTTAAATAAGTAACAATAAAGATAATGTTAAATCTCAACCTCACGATCCAAAAAGAATCCACAACTGTGAACAATAATCCGTGGGAAGACCACTTGGATCACATTAATTCCTTCCATAGTTGATTTAAGAATAATTGTATTATCATTATTCTAGAGTTATTTGTTTCCTTATCAATGCACTTTGTATAGATCTATAAATATGGAGTAGATTGCATAATAAAATTCAAGTTTTTCCCTATCAAATTCTTAGT